GTCCGTACCTTTCACTCTTCTTCCATGATAAGTAGGTCCCAGCAACCGTGGTCGATCGTTGTGTTCCAGACCTCATGATTCATCATGATTCCAGGGTTCATGTTCGCCTAAGGCCCAGAGTGGTCAGAGTAGTCTTTACTATGTAGAACTTCGAGTCTTTGTCTGCATGCAGAGACCTACCAACGTTCGAGATACAGTACATGAGTGGCTCAAGCTAAACACAACACAAGTGAGATAGATGTCAAGTTGAGCTCCAGTGACCTGAGAATAAACACAGGGCCCTGTGAGTAACAGCACAGGATGTCCAGGTCCTCAAAGCCCAAAACCCTGCCATTAATCCCATCTTTGAGCCCAGAGCAGGCTCCAAGAGCAGCAGCGCCGCTTCCTCCGATCTAGCCAGCTCCACATCGGCACCGTCGGCGTGACTTTGCCTCGTGGGTTTAGGGTGAAGGGCTCGGGCGGATTCTGCTGAGGGCAGAGTTGGAGTCTAAGTCTCCTGCTCCCGGAATCCCAAAATGACCTACGCGCTATACCTGGAACAGCTGCAAGACTGCCGAAAGATCAATCTGCTTCAGGAGATGCAGTCTCGTTGTTTTGTGATTGTTGTGATTGTATCGGGGTGCAGGTGTTTGCGCTTTTGTTCCTGTTGAGTGACGTGCTGCGCACAGCCCTTTGGACTCGAATGTTTGGTGCTGCACGCCCTGTCTCAAACGACAGTCGACACCATCCTGGGGAGCAATGCAGGTCGACACCCACGAGCCCAGTTTCTGCATGTTACATATCCTTCATAATGAATAGTGAGAACATTGCAGGGTTCCGCCTTCGTGCTGGCCAGGCGGTATTCGCATATTCTAGCTTGACTGCCTGGGGCTTCCGGACCGCATAGAGGGCTGACTACGTGCAAGGTCGCGCCAGACCTAAACCTCCATCCCGAAAACTGCCACTGAAGTTGACTAGACATCAGCAAAGGTCGTTTCGACCAAGTCCGTCAACGTGTGACACTTCCGTGACACCTTGCAGTGGAGCGACAAGCTTAGGTACCACCCTTGGCGTCCGGATTTTTGCAGTCTGCGATTACCCGAGCATTTGGTGGGTTGGCACCCTGTAGTGTTCACTCAATCCTTCCAGCATTTCTGGATTCCTCAACGCCCCAATATGCACCCCTTGAAAACTGACCCTGTGTAGACCCCTACGGGCCCTGCAACGAATACTTCCAAGCCCTACAAGTCCTGTATCAACCCTTTTAACTTCTCGCAGCAGCATCCTCAGGGATTCTCTTCTTTCGTTTCAGACACCAGCTCTGAGGATTGGGTCGGGTGGAGGGCTCAAGAACTTGTTAAGACCAAAGGGCTCGATCGAGGTCCTAGCCGTATTTCGATATCTTGCGATCCTGAAGGAGTGAATGAACTGCAGGCCCATTTTTTGTTTGAACTGAGGGCCGCGCCTGCGTAGAGTAGACAGCTGCAGGCACAGCGTATGTAGTATCGATGGCATCAACATGATTGTTGCCATGTAGCGAACCAACACCTAATCGTGAAGCTGACAACTCCGAACCCCCTCAAGCCCGAGAACCATAACAACTACCCACAAGTGGCAAAAGGTCCCTCAAGTCAAACAGTTAGCCTAAGAGCCCTGAGCGTTAAGCCCCAAAGCTCTATAGACCCGTCACTCTTCGACTAATCGACCAAGCGACCAGGCCCTTGCTTGGTCTTGACACTTAAAGCAACGATCGCAGGGAGCGCACTCTCCCCTTTGGCACTTCCACTGGCGATGCGGCGGCCACCGGAGGCACTGCCGGATTAAGGTTCCTGGGTGACATTGAGGTTTGGGGTTTGTGTTTGTTCCTGGCTATGTACAGAGTCTGTTCTTGGTTTAGCTTGCGAACTTTACCGTCTGCAGGGTCAGTTGTTCTTTTTGGCGGTTTGTAGGCTCTGAGACAGATGGTCGTGCTGTGCTTGCGGGTTTTACCGATAGAAGCCAAGTCCCAATGGGTCAGTATGGTAAGGACTTGACTGTAGGATAGGGCTGTTGTGTTCAAGCTCCGAGGACTTCTCTAGTTCGCGGTGGTTGAGTGACCGCGGATTGCATAAGCAATGCGGTGCACCATCTTAAGAAGCAGTGCCGCATAGATCGGCTTCCAGGTGCAAGTACACCCCGCACAGGAAGCTGCCGTGCGTAAAAAAAAGCTCAGTTCCACAATACTTTACAAGTGCCAGGCAGTTGTGTCGCCAGCAAGCGGTCGATTACCAAACGTTGCGAAATTGCGGCTAAGAGTTTCGAGTCTCGAGCCAAAATCCGAAAGACTTGACAGAACCAAGTCTCATATTTTCGCTTGTGTATGAGTGTTTCCTTATCTTTCCTTATCGACTATGTTCGCTCTTTGATTGGTCCTTACGTTTCTCTTCGCATCAGCGCGCGTGTTTGTGTGTTTGTGTGTGTGTGTGTCTATCGAGGGAGAGATGCCCAACCGTTGTGCCAGGCCTCTTCGTCGTTGACACCTAGCAGCCGGCTGCCTCAGAGACCTTTCAAAATAACATGGCCCGAAGGCTCGCTTCGGATAGTTGGAGCCGTTGGTAGTTGGTCATGCGAGGTTTTGTGAGAGAGAGAGAGAGAGAGAG